TACGTACGACGACGACACACACACACACACACACACACACACACACACACACACACACACACACACACACACACACACACACACACACACACACACACACACACACACACACACACACACACACACATGCACAGGCACTCGTGCAAACTGAATCGTACATTTTCCGCTTGGGGTGGGTTCAAATCGTCATCGGTCACGACTAGAGGTACGTTCCACTTGGCGATCGCAACGTTTGTGGAATCATTTTATCTTTGTTTTTCATCGAAAGTTAAAGAAAGATAGATAATGTTCACGAGCGTTGCGATCACCAAGTGGAACTCAGCCTAGGTTGGCATCGTGATGTCGTACCTTGTTGCTGCCGGCTCCCAAATATCTCGACAGCGACGAGTGTCAATGTGATTATCGACTGCCACGATGCGGCGGTCATGCAAGGGTTGTCGTTTCGTTATTAATTAATCACTAGCAGGGTGATCAGAACCGATAACAGTGACGAGAAGAAAACAATGCCGCGCCGCGTTCCGTACCGGCGCGATACACGCGTACATACGCGCCACACATTCGGTATCGACACATCGCACGCATACGCGCAGCATTCGCGCGAAACGTCTCGCGCGCTCGCTCACTCGCGCTTCCTCACCGGCTACTCCTTAGAAACTACCGCGTTATCGCCGGAAGGTTGGGTGTCGCCGGTGTGGCGATACCTCTCTGCGTATGAAAGGCGCTTTTGAGGAGTGTGCGGGGAATGTCAAGAAAAGTAATAGAAGGAAAGCACGCGAGAAATTGTGAGTTGACAGAGAGACCATGAGAGATAGGAGAAGAGAGAGAGAGAGAGAGAAAGGACGGAGTTAAAAGCGAGCTTGAAAGAAACGCGTGTGTGCCGACACTCGCGCTCACTCGCGCTTGTCTCCAAAGAGTCCCGTGGAGATATGACGTTAACTACGGGCGATTAAAAAAAACGGCCGGAGTACCGATGCGATAGAGGCGTTACTGCCTTCATTATCCGCCCACCCGCTCGCTCGCTTTGTACGTACATATCCCGCCACACGTTCCCCGCGATCTGCGCCGTCTAACGACGGCGTCGCGACGTCGTTTCCCGTGGCGCCGTCATGCGGTCGGTATGTCTCATCGATGCGGATAATACATACGGGGGAAACTTGGTACACGCGATGCACGCGTTGCACGATGATGTGTGTGTCGTTCCGTTTGTTGCGTGACGCGCACGCGTCGTGACCTCCGCGAAGCACACAATTTTTTCAATAATTGCTTGATTAACTCTCTCGCGAAAAATCGGTTTTATCAATAAAACCGAATGTTTTGCGTGTTCTTTTCTTACTTTTATACAATAGTTTTTTATTTCTTTGATTTATCTGACTAAAATTAGTACTTACGCGAAATATAATTCACCTCATTATTCGTATTCTGTAATCTACTGGGAAATTATAAGTACCAAAGTTGACGATTTTTTGTAACTAATATCTGTTAAAAATTATTATTTCCGTCTAAACTTGTTACAAGCAAGCACTAAAAGTCAAGACCTTGCATATGCGTGTTTACGTGCTTAAAAGAATTACGAGATTAAACCAATACTGTAAGGTCATTTAATGAAGCCTTTTGTAGTTACAAGGCAAATAGGTCTCATAGATATTGGAAATCGTTGATGATAAAAACATATATCTATCTATTATTTACATGATTTAGACAATTTTTCAATCTACTTATTAATTCTGCTGTGACATATTCTTACAAAAAATTGCATATTTAGAATTTAAACGACTATTTTCAAAACAGTCAATTATTTTCGTAACCGGAATCAATCATAATTTTTAAATCTATCTTGTATTGTTACTTTTACAATAGCATTATTCATATTTCTACACATAGGTCATTTGTATTTCTAGCTGTTTTTCAGTTTTTAATATTTTATAGACTCGTGTGCTAAGGTCTTTTTGGTTTCTCTCTCCAAAACAAATTATAAATAATGGGCAACATTATGTCCAAGCGCCGCTCAAGCAATTCAATTACTTGCCGAATAACAAACAATTAAAGGTACGTGAGGATACGAACGACTCACGTATATATAAATAGGGAGCTGAAAAAGATCTGTTAGTATAGAATTCTTATCGATTCACCCAAGTATGTTGTGTCTCTATAAATGTTATATATTCATTTCTTGTAATTTTTAAAACGGTTAATTTAAGATTAAATTTGTTCTACGCTTTTTAGCGAGAGGGAGGGAGGAGGGAGGGGGGGGAGAGGAGAGAGAGAGAGAGAGAGAGAGAGAGAGAGAGAGAGAGAGAGAGAGAGAGAGAGAGAGAGAGAGAGAGAGAGAGAGAGAGAGAGAGAGAGAGAG